GTTTTTTTTTAATAAATAAATTTTTGTGTACATTTATTTTTTTAATAATTAGTACCTCACAATAGGCTAGCAATAATGTGATTCAATTAGTTGTTTATTAAATATTATTTTCTCTATTTTAAACATGTTCAAAACATCTTAAGAGACGTGTATTGCTGATTAAAAAAAGGTATTTCGCACACGGATAATAATGTGATTAAATTAGTTGTCAATTTTTTTTTTGAACAAACGATATTATCTACACTAAGGGGAAGGAGGTGGGCTTAGCCTCACAATGAGTTAGTAATAATATGATTCAAACAGTTGTTTATTGAATATTATTTTCTCTATTCTTAATATAAATTCAATAGAAACATATTTTATTATGTGGATTTAGCTGCTTTAATTGGTTTATGAGGGGTTTCTTCTAGCATGATCTAAGATTATTTATTTACTTCAAATCTTTGACTTTCCTTTTATCAATTTACGCTTATAAATACATTTAAAACGTGTAAGTCACAAGTTGCACGTTGTAATTCAAAAATGTCTTTTGCACGCGCATAAGTGCATGCACGAAGGCTAGTTATTATTAAGGGGAGGGTTCAAAACAATTATAGTAATTTAGGAAAGGGGGAGAATTTCGAACTTGGGACACATGAGTGAAAACCCAACATACTATGCACTAGAATATTGGACCATATGTTATTGGTAGGGCTAGCTTGATTGCTATGTTTTTTGTAGAAACTACTTCTATTGTGCTGTTAAAATAAACAACTATGAAAAAAAAAAAAAAAACAGGGTAAGTGTTTGGTAAACTATAGTTCTAAAAATGATTTTAGCAAAGAAAATATGGGGTTAAGATTGTAAATATGAAAGTTTCATTAGTTGGTATTGTTCACCTGCCTACCTCCAATGAAAAAACGTTTTTTTTAGAAGTGTATGTATAGTTGGTTCTGCTTTCTGCTATTTTGGACCATGATTTAGAGAAAAAAAATTATTTGCCAAACAAATTTAAGACCCCAACTTTTTGAAAAACTGTTTTAAAAAAAAATTGAGCAACCCTAAACTACCTCGTAATTTGTTTGTGTTTATGCAAGTAATTGACTTCTAGGGTTGGAATGAAATTTCACTTCTTCTTTAGGTCACTCTTTTCGCAAAAGAATGATGAAGTATTTTTCGTTATTGCTCCAAAACATGAATTGTGACCGCGAAAAATAATTAAATAAATAAATAAACAAAGGGATGACAAAAAATAAGCACACACCGTCCACCGTCTCAACATCTAATTAGAATCCAAAACTTTGATGCTGAAAGGATGGAAATAGAGTGATCACACCACATAAGACGTCTTTTTCGACCAAGTAAACGACACCAAATGACACTGACCTGCACCTTATCTTGCATTGCATGTAATCTACGATGTCGTTTCCACCTTGGTGGGGTCGTATTTTGAAAACACTTCATTGACTTTTCAATCTGGTATGGCAAATCCCTGTTTTCTTAGCTTCCATAGTCAAATTTGGCTTTTGATTTTTGGGACACACTGTGAGCCGTTGATCTGTCCATTGTCCATGGAGGATGACCGTCCGATTGTCTTAGTGTTTAAGTTGGAAATTTTGCTTTGAAGAAAAGTAGTAAGCCCTAAGCTGGAGTCTTTATGCTCATAGTCATGAACTGTCACTAAGCTCTTGTCCTGGAGTTCAAATTTATGTTCCTGTTTTTTTAAAGAGAAACGCTACGTAGACTTTTTCAAAGTCGGATTTTTCATAGACTTTTTGTCGTCTTATAGTTTAATGTCAATTTTCATAAAATATTATGTTGTAAACATGAGTTAGCAGATAATCTATAGAGAGTTCTATTTTTTAGAAAGTCTCCTTAGCATGAAGAGGTTAATCGTAAACGAGAAGATTGATTATGAAGAAAAAGTAAAATCGATTCGTATTCACATATATAAGAATTATATGAGAGCAAGAATACTCGTGGATTGCTTTTTGAAAAAATAACTTTTTTCTCTTTGTTTTCAATATTAAATGGTTCCTATGATGCTTCAATGAGTTTAGAATTAATTCTGATTACTGTTAATTGTATCGCTTTAGCGAGCTGTTCTCCGCTTAAATGAGGAATGTGGTCTTGCTGTGTAGTGATGACTTGATAAGGGATCAAATCATTGATTGGATTTCGTAATGACAATATAGTCTTGGCAACTGAAAAGTAATTACATGTAATTAGATTAACTTCAATGGGTGTCACAGTTGGAGCACTTACTAAATCATGACAATTCCAACTTACCTAGATTCTTTTAAGGGAATTTTGACGAAAAGCTCTCGATACTGTTCATTTTAACGAAAAATCATATTTTTACATTAAAAAGTCAATCATGGTACTATTCACTTTACTCTTCATTTACTCACCATGTATTTCAACCTACTTGAAATTTTTTATTTGTTCTAAGTTTTTTATAATGGAGGAAAAAGAAATGATTTGGTTGATGCAACAAATGCACTTGCCAAAAATACAAACACGTAAGTGTCTGGTCACGATCATGGTACACATAAGCTTTCGGAATCAGCTCAAGTGAATGAGTGAATATGAGATAAAATGTTATAATTAGGATACATTCAGTATTTCGAAACTCATTTTTTTTAAACGTAACCGATGATATTTTTTTTAACCCGTCTCTTAAGAGCAAAATCATGTATTTGTAGTGAAGCAAGCATAAATTAAGGAGGAGATTAGTACATGGTGCAAAGATGATTGAGATGATTAGGCTGACCGATGAAGAAAATAAAGACACCATGGACTTGTAACGAAGATAATTGAGGAATATAATACCAATTTGCAATTGTTTTTTTTCTTTGAAAAGGCCATCAGCTGATGGTTGACGTGCCGATGTACTGTATGAAATGCTAACTTGAAATTTGAAAAAAGCCAACGCTAGGAATTGATTTAAATATTTTTGGAAAGGGGTGTCATAAAAAAAAATTTCCAAACAAAAGGAGACAACATAAATGAGAGCGCCCACGGCCGTAGACTTTTCTGCCCAATTTATTTACCAGGAAAAAAAGGAAGAGAAAAAAAAAGAGTAAATTATAGCAATGGTCCTTTAATTTTAATCAAATTGAAATAATGGTTCCTCAACTAAAAATCTATTACCATTGGTCTTTTAACTTATCAAAATGTGTAGCTATAGTCATTTTCATCAATTTCATCAAAATTTTATCAAAATAAGTTATGTTAGAATGACCATTTATACAATTAGGGTCTCTCAACTCATCAAAGTGTGTTATTATGGTTATTTTCGTCAACTACGTCAAAATTTATGTCAAAACGAGTTATGTTGGAAGGATAATTGCTACAATTGAATTAAAGTTAATGGACTATTTCTCTAGTTGAATTAAAGTTTAGGGACTAATGTTAATGGATTTTTAGTTAAAGGATCATAACTACACGTTTTGATGAGTTGAGGGACTATTGCTCCAATTGAGTTAAAGTTAAAGGATAATAACTACAATTTACTCGGAAAAAACGAAGAAGACTATTTTGGTCCATTTATTACGTCATTAATTTATAAAAATAATTCAAAAATTAGGTGCAGGCGTAACGAAAGCGAGGATTCTAGAAAGCATCGAATCTCTCTCATTCGTCGATGGCTCCAAGAATTCCAAAGTGCGCGGTGCACAACGATATCACCTACAACTGATAACCTCACCCTTCTTATCCACGATCCAACGCTGACGGACAAATGGGCATCGAACAAACCGTTGAAATACAAAACTGCGCTCCACCACATTGACTCAACTCCTCGACGAGAAATTTTTAAGGCTTTTTATATTAGCACAATGCATTCCACGTTAAAATTTAATATTAATGACTATGTAATGACAATTTTGATCTTATTAGGTTTAAAAAATAATAAAAAATTTATAAATACACCTCAAATCACTTTTAACGTATTATTTATCTATTTCAACTATCAAAACCCCTCACATTCTCCATTGTTGAATAAAATCCTAAGCAATGAAACTACAAACATGTTGATTGAGAAAAATAATTTTTGACGAATGGAACACGAAATCAGTGTTTCGAAAGCTTTGAAATCATTATTATTGTTATTGAAAAACGTTCAAATGAACCTAAACATTTTTTGAAATCATTCAATTTGAAATCATTCGGCAAACTAATGTTCAGATAGTTTGAAATCATTCAGCAAAATAAAAAATGAGTTATAAGATTTGAGAAATGTGAGGTGTATGTAGAAAATATAAGGGGTATGTAAAGAATGTGGGGTGTGAGGGTATTATGGGAAAGGAAGTGGGGTGTATTAAGATAGTTTTTAATTGAAAAAGTAAATGTGGGGTATATTAAGTATGTGAGATTTATTCAACAATTTGTGGGATGCTAATATAATAAGTCATTTATAATTGTGACGGGAACACAAATGGTACACCACGTGTTTTAATAAGAATTGTGAAGATTTTATTTTGTAAGTTATTAACTTTTTAGCACATATATTCCATCATTTGTTTAATGATATGTGATGAACCTTCTTGACAATTAAAATCTTCCCGTCACGCATACGCTTGTGACTGCGGGTAACGATGGCATGATTTAGAAGCGAATCGGTTCTTTTTCTCTTCGGTAGCACAGACGGTGGAGGTTCCGCCACGTCACCACTAAAAGACAAAGTGCATTATGCGGTGACAATCCTGGAATCTGAACACATCACTTTGGTGAGGTCGGTTTCACAGTATCGTGGACACGCGGCAATCCGTTACTCGATGCTCTTAGATATTTAAAAAAACCAGGAGGACCCACTCAGAATTTTGAAATAAAATAATTTATTTGGGGTTTCTATTTAATTTAATTTTTTGAAGACGAAGAGAGAGAGAGAGAGAGAGAGAGCTCGCAGATTTCATAGGCTCTTGTTTTTTGACTGGAGAAAAAAAAAATTAAATAAATAAAAAGCAGAAAAACTCAAAAGGAAGAAACGAAAAGTCTCTGTCTTTGCTAATAGTTTGGTCCTTTTTTGGGTAGAGTTAAAAGAGGAGGTGGGAGGAGTTGGTTTTTTTCCTGAGCAACTCTCAAGAGCTCTTTCTCCTTTGTATTTCATTTCTCTGCTGCAATAAGGTATGCGCCTGCTCTTTAATTCTCAATTTTTTTTTTATTTTGTATTTTCTTTGCTTAATTCGATTATTTGGGGTGTAATTCCACTTAGGTTTATTTGTTTTCTTGAAGTTGTTGAATTTTCTGTTTGGTTCTTGAGAAAATGGGAGTTTTGAATGAAAGCTTGGTTCTTTTTCTTTAATGGGTTTGTTTGTTGTTGGTTGGGAGTTTAAAAAGTTGGAAGAAGGAAGTAGAAGAATTGTGTTTAGTTGAATTTTGGTTTTTTCTTTTTCTTTGATGGATGTTGTTATTTATTGGGAATTATCAGTTTGGAAGTAGAAGAATTTGCGTGAGAGTTGAGCTTTGGATTGTTTTACTAGAAGGGGGTTGAGAGAGAGAGAGAGAGAGAGAGAGAGAGCTCTATGTGAATTTTCTTTTCCCAGTTTCCTGGCAACCAAACAAGTGGGTGTGTGGTTGTTATGAGTGGTTGTGTTTGTTGGGTTTGTAACAGATTTCTGTTTCAGTTTTTGCCTGAAATTGGTCAACATGTGTGTTTTGACAATATGGTTAAATGATGACACCAAAGATTGAATTTTTATGTTTTGATCAAATCCCTTGCGCACCTTTGGAAGATTGAAATTTTCCTCCATAAAGTGCCCATGCTTGTGATCTTTCTGACAGAGGGTGTTTGAATTGATGTCTTCTTTTTATAGGAAGAGACTGTCTTGACATCCATGTGCAGTGGTTCCAAGAGGAATCCTTCTTCCACTGATACGATCATGGAGCGTGAGAAACAAGAAGGGACGCGGTTTAACTTTTCGATTTTGCTTGAACTAGCCGCCTGCGATGATCATGAAGGGTTCAAAAGGGCTGTAGAGGAAGAGGGTCTTGATGTTGATGAGGCGAGCTATTGGTGTGGGAGGCTGATTGGCTCGAAGAAGTTGGGGTTTGAGGAGAGGACTCCCCTCATGGTCGCCGCTATGTTCGGTAGCATGAACGTGTTGAATTATATTCTTCAATCCTGTCTTGTTGATGTTAATAAAGCCTGCGGTTCAGATAGAGCTACAGCTCTTCATTGTGCTGTTGCTGGTGGCTCTGCTGCTTCGGCTGAGGTTGTCAAGCTCTTGCTTGCTGCTTCTGCTGATGCGAGTTCTCTTGATGCTAATGGAAACCAACCAGGTGACTTGATCGCACCTGCTTATAGTTCGAGCTTCGGTTCGAGGAAGAAAGCTTTGGAGGTCATGCTCAAGGGTGTTCCCAGTATTGATGAACCTTTCGACTTCTCGGAGCAAATGATTAATGAGACAGAAGGGCAAGAACAGCAAGAGATGACAACTCCTCGTGCTTCGAAGGATGGAACAGAGAAGAAAGAGTATCCTGTTGATCTTTCTCTTCCGGACATCAAGAACGGGATTTATAGCACGGATGAGTTCAGAATGTATACTTTCAAGGTCAAGCCGTGCTCAAGGGCCTACTCTCATGACTGGACAGAGTGTCCGTTCGTCCACCCGGGGGAAAATGCAAGGCGGCGTGATCCAAGGAAATCATTACAGCTGTGTTCCTTGCCCGGAGTTCAGAAAGGGGACCTGCAGACAGGGAGATGCTTGTGAATATGCACATGGTATTTTTGAATGTTGGCTTCACCCTGCCCAGTACCGTACCCGTCTTTGCAAGGATGAGACGGGATGCACAAGAAGGGTCTGTTTCTTTGCTCACAAGCCAGAAGAGCTTCGCCCCTTGTATGCTTCGACAGGTTCTGCTGTGCCTTCTCCGAGATCATTCTCAGCCACTGCTGCTTCTCTGGACATGGGGTCAATTACCCCGCTTTCCCTCAACTCTCCATCCATGATGATTCCTCCTGATTCAACTCCGCCCATGACTCCCACAGGACCTTCTTCTCCTATGGGTGGAAACATGTGGCAGAACAATCCAAACTTTGCACCCCCCACTTTGCAGCTTCCAGGTAGCAGATTGAAATCTACTCTGAGTGCTAGAGATATGGATTTTGAGATCGAGATGCTTAGCCTGGAGAGGGATCGTCGAAGGCAGCAACGCTTGATTGATGAGATGTCCGGTTCCCCATCTAGCTGGAACAAAGGCTTATCTCCTGCATCGCCCTTTTCTGCATCTGGGAATCGAACAGGGGAATTGAATACCTTCGGAGTAGTGAACCCTACTAACCTTGACGACATTTTTGGATCTCTTGATCCTGCAATTTTGCCTCAATTTAATGGCCTTTCACGGGATGCAACAGCATCCCAGTTACATTCTCCAACTGGGATCCAGATGCGCCAAAATATGAACCTGCAGGCCCGTCCCAGCTACTCTGCCAGCCTCTCATCCTCTCCTGTACGGGCTTCTCCGATGTTTGGAGTTGATGCATCTAGTGCAGCTGCTGTTTTTAATTCAAGGTCTGCTGCATTTGCAAAGAGGAGTCAGAGCTTCATTGAGCGTAGTGCTGGCAACCGTAATTCTGTGGTTTCTTCCTCTGCTGATTTTGGAACAATAAAGCCCTCTAACCTTTCAGATTGGGGCTCTCCTGGTGGCAAATTAGACTGGGGTATCCAGGGCGAAGAGCTGAACAAGCTGAGGAAATCTGCTTCTTTTGGATTCCGAAGCAACGGGAGCAGTTCCCCAACAGCTTCATCCATGATGCCAACAAATGGTGATGAGCCTGACGTATCATGGGTTCAATCTCTTGTCAAGGATGGACCTCAAGCCTCGCAACAACGCGGGCAATTTGGATTCGAGGACCAGCAGCAGCAGCAGTGTCACCCTAACAACGGAGGTCCAGAGATGCTCCCCGCTTGGGTGGAGCAGCTTTACTTTGAGCAGGAGCAGATGGTGGCTTAAATCGACAAATCCCCGGATTGCTCCTTTCGTTGACGTTTAACTATATTTTTTTCCTGCCATTTTTTAAATTTTTATTGTATTCATCAATTAAGGTTGAAGGAACCGGAGAAGAGAGGAAATAACCCGACGGAAAAGAAAGATGAGTCTGCAGAATGCAAGTTCTAGTCTGCAGAATGCAAGTTCTGCACAGAGTGTTTCCTTTGAATTAGTTCGTCTTCATTGTAGTTTCCATGTGAATCTCGAACAGAAAAATGCTGAAAAAATTGAGAGATTTCCATGTTAATCATAATTATCAAGTTAATTATTATGTTTTTGGTCGGTTGTATACCTTATATGTATGACCAGCTCTTACAATGATGAATTATTCATAAATTCAGGATATTCATATCAATTTGGCCAACTTTGTGTTCTCGTGCTGAAATTTCTGTGTACATTTACTTGTCAAGAGAAAGATATCGGAAACCTTGGTTGTCATCAAGTGCATAGACCCGTGCATCCCTATTTCTCATCCCGTTACGCACGATGAGAGAGAGGGATGAGACAAGTGATAGGAGATAGCGACACATGCACTTGGTGACACGGTAAAACCTTTCCTGTTTGTTTGAACTTGGAAATAGAATTCCCCCCACCCACACGCAATACCCATCTTCAAGGATCCAGCTTTAGGCTTATACTTTTCGTAAAATGATTTTCACACACCTCTTCTTCTCCACACGTTCATTTATATTTATATCCGTTAATTCTCTTTCGATTCATTCACTCCAAAGGGCCAAAATAAACATAGTGTATGGTTCCTTACGTTTTCCGTCTCTGGTTTTATTTTTACGATGTTAATTTTATCATTTTTCTGAAATCTGCATATTACTTCGGCTTTCCAAAGGTGAATCTCTTCCCAGTCTCCCCAATAGGGGTGATATTTTGTTGGGCAAGAGACAGAAAAAGGCAGACCTACTACCTCTGCTTTTTCTATCTTTCAATCTGCTTTTTAGTAGTTGGGTAATTGTTAGTGGCATGAGCACTAGATAAAGAAAACGATTACCAAAAAAAAAAAAGATAAAGAAAACGATTAATGGCTTCAGTCACAACACCCAGAGATGCCTTGGCCCACAAGTATCAACTTTAAATCCAGGGAATTTGATTTTCTTCCAGTTTCCACCCACTTGACTTCAAAGTTCAAACAGTATCACAACACATGTACCCTTTTAGATTGGGGTTGAACTACCTGCTTTATCACTAGTAAAATAAATCAGAAACCTCCTTTAAACGGTGATTTTTTGTTTTTGTTTTTGTTTGGGGGGGGGGGGGGGGGGAGAGAGAGGTGTCACCCTACTTGTTGAGCTGCAAGGGCTGGTTTTTGACATGTATGTGATTTCTATTGGTTAAATTGCAAAAGAAGAAAGCATCTGTTCTACTTTGATAGAAGATAAATGACTTATTTGGAAGTGCTTTTAAAATGACTGAAAGTGTTTTTGGTAAAATTGATTTTGGGTTCCAAAAGCACTTTAAGTGCTCTTTTAGGAGAAGCACCATATATATGTGTTTTTTTGGAGAAGCATTTAAAGTGCTCTTATAGAATTCATTTGAATTTTTATTAAGGATTGGTTTCAAAAACATTTTTTACCAAAAGCATTTACAAACGAGCTCAAAAACTTGGCTAGGGGTGCCTTAATCATGTCATCTGTTAGATACTTCTCATAAAAGTACGGTACTTTCTGTATTTTGGTCTTATTCAACTTAGTTTCGATGAAAGCAACCCTAATTAAATTGTTCTACTGAAATTTCCTTTAGAGTAAATCTCGAGAAATTAATAATTTTTCCTCTAGTGTACCAATTCCAAATAATTGCTCATGAAACTTGACCATGCATTTTTAATGGAAAATTGTTGCTCGAATTGCTTGACTAGGAACTGCCTCTCTTGGAACCCTAGTGGCTAAGCTTGATACCCAAGGGGAAGATGTTCCTCTTCTAGTATAGAGGATTAGAATTAAGAACCTTTACAAGGGCAAGCTCTACAGAGAATTTGCTGTGTAACTGAGATATATATCGTTGTGTTTATAATACTGATTACATGTATACTCCTCACAAAGATATTCTATGTTCTATGTTAGACAACAGATTTTTTTTAAAGTTTGCAATTTACATAATCAGTTTTGAATGTTGAATGTGTAATTTATAATATACTAATGAAGAATAATATTTGGCTACGTATTTATAATCAGAATTGTTCATGTTATAAATCATTTTATAAAGATTGCTTATTCAAAAAAATCAATTAAAACCAATGTCGTTTAGTCATTGAACTGTATAAAAACAGATGAACAAAACTTGTAAAAGTACTACGAACCGTCTATGTATTTACTACAATAGATGGACTAAACAATCATTTTTTAATTTATTTTTGCAAAGATGATATTTACAAAGTGTTTCATAATATGAACGGTTATGATTATAAGCACAAAATTCTATAATTTGAACACAAAGTGTTTTGAATAAGAGTTTCTATTCATTTGAGTAGCCAAATATCTTCATCAACAAAAGCAAAGTTGAGGGGAAAGAGTGGGAGCTAGTAATTTTATGCTGCCTTTTAATCATGACTCCGTCCATAACTGGATTAAAATATTAATCCCTAGAATCTTAGCCCACTGGTTTGAAGTTTGAACTCGTAAGCCTTTTGATGATAAAGAATTAAGTGAAAAAGTCTGCATTAATGTTTGCGCAGAATTTTGAATCACAGTATAATATCATTCCTCTTTCTTGGCATAATAATCACATCCTTAATTATTATATTTAATTACAAATAAAGGATACTTAGCTTGGCCGTAAAATTCAGCGTTGTTAAGTTGGTTATACAATGTGTCTCTCTTTGCATCTAAATTTGAATTAACCTCCCGTAATTTAAATTTTATTAAGTCAGGTTATACCATCGTTCGAATGAAGAAAAACTAAACTTCTAGTAAATACAATATTTTGTTGGTTAATTTGATTTATTTTGATGCCAAAATTTACAAAGGCTGTAAATCTTACAGATTTTGAATTTCCATGGCAAAGTCAGCAAATTGATCAACAATCTCATCTAATAATTGACCAAGAATCTGTGACTCGAAATCTGCACCAATGCCTGCAGAAATACCTTCAAAACTCCACATGCCTTTGTTTTGTAGGATCCAATTTGAACCGACCAACTCGGCTTCAGTCAGCCTACAAATCTCACTCCACATCCCAATGTGCTTTGCTCTGTGGAATTCTTTCTTCTTTGATCCAAGACATTTGCCTTCTATTGTCTTTTTTCTTCTTGCATCACCACTTGGACCATTTTCTTTGCATGAATTGGCTAAACTTGAATCTTCTTCTGTCACAAGAAAAATAATAATTTTAATACATCTGACGATATTCGACTTTAGACTGATCTAAACTGTATAGAGAAAGTTCAAAGTTTGAGATATAAATGAAGCACATTTCCTCTAGCCAATACGACTATGCTCACACGTTCAGACCTGTTAGGTGGTGTAATATTCAAGAGTAGGGTTTGACTAACAGATGTAGCCAAGGGTAGGGTTTTCGTGAGTTTTGGTAGGAGTTTGTTGATGGATAGAAGTTCAAGTACCAATTTGAAATCAACTCTAAATTTTGGCAATTTCTACTGAATTTTAATAAAAAAAACAAAACCAGAAGACACTAGAGAGACATTAATCCATGTATATAATAATATAGGTTCAAACCCCTTTACTGTTTAGCGTCCCTCCAGTTCTATTTTTGAATCGAAGTATAAACCATACTTAAATAATTTGCAATTGACTAAAACCAAACAGTTCAAGCTTAAGTTGAAAAATGGTCTACAGAATTGAGGGGACAAACCTGAAGAAGGGATTTCTGTATCAACAAGAAATTGGGCACAATCGAGAACCGAAACCGGGCTTAAATCTTCAGAGCTGAATTCAGATTCTACATTCTTAAGCACATCACATATAGTTTTCTTCTTCTCTGTCGTCTTTGTAGCAATTGAAGTACTTTTTGAATCTTCACCAGAAGTGCTTCTGCTTTTCAGCATCTCTTTCCCATTCAAATCGTTCAAAGCCCTTCTGCTTTGTCCTTGGAGTTGCTTCTTATTCTCTGCCTTTCTTTCTCTTCTGTTTTCCGTTTGTTGGCTTTGTCTCTTTTCACATTTCCTCCCTTTCGATTTTGTTTCCTTGCTTTTCCTCTCACTCTCAAAGCTGAGAATAAAGAATTCCTCATTTTCTGGCTCAAGAAATGTAGGCATCTCTCTAAATGACCGAGTCGACTTCATCCCGCGACGCTTATCAAACCGGTCCACAGAATTCATGGATTTGCTGCGTGAAATTGAATTTTGGGTTGATTGGCTGCTGACCAAGTTCCTGTCTGGAATTGAATCCAATCCCATCAGCCTTGCCACAATGCTTGGACTGGCAGAGATCTCTGTTTTATCCTTGGAATTAAAATCTTGATCTCTGGAACTAGATGCCACAGAATTTTCTTCTCCTAGGATGTGATCAGAAGGGTATGTGGGGAAGCTTCCTTTGCAGAGAATTCTGCGCAAAATTCCGGAAATGCAGCCCGCGGTGGCGCTTTTTGAACTGCACATTGTTGCATCAAAAGCAGTGGAGTTGGATGATGATGAGCATGAAGAAAAAGAAGGGGAAGAAATTAGCAACTTCATGGAAAAGGGTAGTGAAACAAGCACAGTTTGGCAAGTGAGTGGGAGTTTGATTTAGCGTAGTTTGAACTTTCAAGTTGGAAAAAAGTGCAAAAAGAAGAACGAAGAGGAGTCGAGAAAAAAGCAGTGACAGAAGAAAAGAGAGATTCAAATTTGTTTTGTAGTAGCAAAACTGCATAAAGTGTTCAGAGACAAAGTGGGAGAGAGAAGTGGCGGGCACTGGATTTGAATATGGGGGTGTCCAGGAAAATGTTACCATGCGCATGGTAAAGTCAATTTTGCACGACATTGTTGTCACATGGTAGATTTAGTCACATTATTGAGAGGAGTGTCTAGTAAAGCTGCCGGCTGTGGCGCGTCTGTGGTGGTGGATTCACTTTTGGACGAGTGAAGGTTGTTGCTCTTACTCGCTCTTTTGCTACGGGTATGTTCCAAATTTTCATAGAAGCTTGTTACAGCTTTTCAAGGGATATAGTATTTGGTTGGAAAGTTAGATTTGCTATGCTATGTAGGAAAAATGTATCTCCAATAGAGGTGCCAACTAGTTAGCAAATTAAAGAATTGGCAACTGACCAGTTACTACTTGTTAAGTTAGCAAATTGGATTCTGCATAATATTTATTCAAAAGTATTATTTAGTGAAGAGTTTGAATATAAAATTTAGCCCCACAAGATAAAATAAAGTTAAGATATTAATATTTTAAAGTGAA